CCAGTCTGGGGTCCGGAGTTCGCCCTGTGACTCCCGCGCCGGCCTCCGAGAGCCGCCGGGCTGGGGCCCCGGGGCCCCCTGGTGTCTCCCGCGAACCTCCAGGCCTAAGCCTCGGTGCCCCCCCACCCCGCTGCCCACCCAAAACCCCCTGACTGGGGCCTTCAGTGCCCTCGTACCCTCGTCCCAGTCTGGGGTCCAGGTGCCCTCCCAGTGCCCCCCCAGCCTCCCCTCCAGTTTGGGGTCCCAGTCTCCCCGCCACCAGCTCCTGCAGTCTGGGGCTCGGGCTCCTGATGGATGCCCGGGCCTGGACCCCTCCAGGGCATCTCAGTGATCTCCCAGTTCTTCCCAGTGGGGGATCCCAGTGCACTTGGTGCCCCTCCACTGAAACCCTTGAGCCCTCCATCCCTCACCAGCTCCCCTAGTGCAAGATCCCAGTGTCCCCCATCTGTGTCCCATGTCCCTTCCTTGCAGTCTGGGGCTCGGGCTCCTGATGGATGCCCGGGCCTGGACCCCTCCAGGGCATCTCAGTGATCTCCCAGTTCTTCCCAGTGGGGGATCCCAGTGCACTTGGTGCCCCTCCACTGAAACCCTTGAGCCCTCCATCCCTCACCAGCTCCCCTAGTGCAAGATCCCAGTGTCCCCCATCTGTGTCCCATGTCCCTTCCTGGTTTCCCCCCCACCACCCCGATCTGAGACCAGGCTCTTGACGCCCTCGCACCCTCTGCTGTCCTCCCCCTGTTCGGAGGCTCGCTTCGGGGGCAGACTAGGGGCTCCCGGCTCCCGGTCTGTGCTGTGGGCCTGTCACTGGACAGTCTGGGAGAACTGGGAGCAGAGAGGGGCAGGCTGGGCATGGCCCAAGAAAGGAGGGGGCCTTTGGGGTACCCTGGGAGGGGAGATGCCCCTGGCCTGGCCTGGGGCAGGCAGGCCCGGGGCGGTCTGTGTCCGCCTGGCATCTCGGGAATGGGGAAGGCTTTTCCTCTTTCGCTTTCCGCCCATGAAAATCCAGGGGCGGGAGCTGGCGGCATGCCCGGACAGGCGGGGGGAGCCTGGGCAGACCCTGGGGGGCTATGAGCCCCTTGCCTCTCCCCTGGGGACACCCGGAGCTGTGGGATGGAGGCACTGTTTGCCCTGGCATCATTTGCCCTGGCATCATTTGCCCCCCTTTACCCCCCTGCTCTATCCTGGTTTGGGTCCTGGCAGAAACTCTGTATCCTTGTCCCGTTGCCTCCCCTGCCCCTACCCAGCAGTATCACGGGGGTCCCCTTGCAAACCAAGACCCCTACCAGGGCTGGCATCGCCCCAGGGCGGCCAGGCTGGAGCAGGAAGAGGAGCACAGAGCCGAGGGGGAGGGGAGCTGCCGGGAAGAGGAACCGGCCCGGCCGGGCTGTGGCGCCCAACCCCCCCCGGGCCCATGGACAGCCCCTGCCCCGCCCCGGCCCCCCCC